TTTCATTCGAAAATTGACCTCCACGTCACCGCACGGGGGGACTTTTCGAATGAAAAGATCGGACAAAGGTGGGTACATTTCGCACTAAAGTTGGCCACAAAGCAGCCAAAGGTGGGTGCATGAAAAAAATAGTAGTACACACCGGAATTGTTGAGGCCTTGTGCGCTGCGGCTGTGTGTAGGGTGAACACGTGCCCGAAAGTCGAAAAAACGTGATGCTCATGCTGTGCATGGGCCCTGCCCATGTTTTCCATGCATCGGAATGATATTTTGAGTGCTTGTGCCCTGTCACGAGCGGTCTCCGCAAAGCAAATTTTCAATTTTCTTGTACACACCTTTGCTAAGAAAGGGGTGGGTTACCCACTTTTGTCTATTTCCCATTTAATATCCACCAAGACGGGTTTGTTTTTTCAGGGAGTACATGAGGTAACATGTTTTTACTATCGTACAGCATGTAATGGTCAGCCGAATGAGAAAGCAAAGAACCCCTGTTGCCGCACTATGCCGCTCGTGCTGCCGCTGTCGTTAGAACCTGAGCTGCACCGCCCCGATTTGCTCAGCTCGGCTCGTGTTTTGGTGCCGTCCAGTAGTCTGACGACTGCGCTTTTTGCGAGTTTGTGATGCCAGATGCCACGATGGCCACGTTTAAGCAGACGCTGGATATGTTGTACATCGCCGGTTTGTAGTCGTGATCTCCAACCGTATTTCCGTGCAACAGCCCAGCAACGTGCGTTTCTTGCCATTTATTCCTACGGCCAAGTTGATTCGTTCCCGGGTTGGTTGGTGTCAAGTAACAGGGACGGACGCGACACGCATGACGTTCGTTACGCGAACCTTCAAGTGCCCGTTTATGATGGATTTTATCGACTCGCCTTCTTGTTGCTAAGTGACTCTAGAACGAGCAGCGGGCGGTGGTTGTCTTCTTGTCACGAAAGTAATTTCTCGCTTCACGGAACGAAATCGTATTTAGTCCGTGTTGCGTTCTTCTACGCGGGAGTACAAGCCCTAGGTGACTTCGGCAAAATGCGACCTTTCGCATCACTCGGTTAAAGCGCACCCACGCGCCCTTGATGTAAGAAAGATCAGAGGAGGAGGGGGAGGCGGGTACATTGCTCAGTTTTTTTTTTTTTTCCATGCGAAGACGACAACGACAACCACACTTGACAGCAACGAAACTATGAGACAGATCGTGCGACTACGATATAGGTCTGATGCGTGTGTGTGGTGATGGAGTCATGGACGTTCACGTTTATGCGCTAGGATTTAGCTCGCAAACCATACAGGCACCGGATGAGAGTTTCAAGCCACCAGCAATACCAGAATACACACAACTCGCGATGCTGCTATCGCACGATAAGACCGAGTTTGAGCTGGGGGAGTGTCGGAGCAACGGCCTCCTTGTTGGTCTCTTTTATGGTCTTATTCTTTTAGTTCAAGCCAGGATAGCTTGGAAAGAGTGAGAGTGGGTGGCGAGCCCGACGTCTCCATCAGAAGAGCCCCGCAGACTGCGGCGACTGCATCGGTGGGGATGCCTGAGCGGAACATGTATCGCCCCGAACCGTAACATCCCCCCTACAATAGCATAAGTATATAATATGAGACGGACGTCTCCAAGTCCCTACAATAGCATAAGTATATAATATGAGACGGACGTCTCCAAGTCCCTACAATAGCAGAAGTATATAATATGAAACGGACGTCTCCAAGTCCCTACAATAGCATAAGTATATAATATGAGACGGACGTCTCCAAGTCCCTACAATAGCATAAGTATATAATATGAGACGGACGTCTCCAAGTCCCTACAATAGCAGAAGTATATAATATGAGACGGACGTCTCCAAGTCCCTACAATAGCATAAGTATATAATATGAGACGGACGTCTCCAAGTCCCTACAATAGCATAAGTATATAATATGAGACGGACGTCTCCAAGTCCCTACAATAGCAGAAGTATATAATATGAGACGGACGTCTCCAAGTCCCTACAATAGCATAAGTATATAATATGAGACGGACGTCTCCAAGTCCCTACAATAGCATAAGTATATAATATGAGACGGACGTCTCCAAGTCCCTACAATAGCATAAGTATATAATATGAGACGGACGTCTCCAAGTCCCTACAATAGCATAAGTATATAATATGAGACGGACGTCTCCAAGTCCCTACAATAGCATAAGTATATAATATGAGACGGACGTCTCCAAGTCCCTACAATAGCATAAGTATATAATATGAGACGGACGTCTCCAAGTCCCTACAATAGCAGAAGTATATAGTATGAGACGGACCTCTCCAAGTCCCTACAATAGCATAAGTATATAATATGAGACGGACGTCTCCAAGTCCCTACAATAGCATAAGTATATAATATGAGACGGACGTCTCCAAGTCCCTACAATAGCATAAGTATATAATATGAGACGGACGTCTCCAAGTCCCTACAATAGCATAAGTATATAATATGAGACGGACGTCTCCAAGTCCCTACAATAGCATAAGTATATAATATGAGACGGACGTCTCCAGGTTCACGTGTGGACAAGTTCCTGGATGTGTGGTGTGGATACACACCGGTTCTGGTGGAGAGGCTGAAGAGTACGGATAGTTGTGTTGTGAGTCAGGGGGGAAGTGAGCCTGCTGCAGCAGGTTCAGCGTCCAGCATACACTGACTCTATCTGTGGCAACACCCCGAAGGTAAATCTCCGTCAGATGCTACGACAGTCTGAGGTGGAATTCACAATATGGCCATAGTATACTAACGCCTTGCCCTGTACTCATTCCCAGAGGAGTGACAGAACCGCGAGGTTCTGCACCAACCGATATGCCTCGAGGGGAACTATTCACCCGAACTTCACGCCGCCATCTCATCTCTCTCTTTCCTGAGGGACAGGACTTTCGATAAAACCTTCTCGTGAAGTCGTTGGCATGAGGAGCGATCTCCATGCCAGTGAAATAGACCGATATACCGCCACTGGCTTCAAGCGTCATCGCAATCGAGACATTGATTGCGACCAGTTCTAGAGGACCTACCAAGTCCACGCATGCATACATACGTACGAAGACACAACTTTCCAACATCGACTCGGTACCACCTACCGAGTAGGAGCAAAAACGAAGGCTCAAAAATGAAACCCCAAGAAACAGACTGAACTCCCATTACCACCTCCAACAAAACCTATGCCACACGAAATATCGCCCCAGGGATCCACAAAAATAAATATCTTCCCACCAAAATATACAACCCAGATAGGCACGAATACGAGAGCGATCGATTGCGTTCCCCGACCAAGACATGAACACATCAAAGAAGTCCTCTGGTGCGAAGAGGACGGTCTTCTGTGAAGACAACGCTCTAGCTCTTGTCGCGCCATCTCCTCCCAGTCTGGTTGCTGTAACGCACCCGCCAGTAACAGTCTCAGTATCCAAACACCTGTCCTTGAAGCTTGAGCCCTCCGCCAAAGTCGTTCAGGAAAGTAATGGTCTAATTAGTATAGCGGTCCGTACACCACATTTGGTCTGCGGAAACCGAATTCGATTCTCGGATTGGACACCATGAGACAGATCGTGCGACTAAGTATAGGTCCGATGTGTGTGTGTGGTTATGGAGTCATGGACGTTCACGTTTATGCTCTAGGATTTGGCGCGCAAACCATGCAGATGCGGATGAGGGCTTCAAGCCACCAGAAATACCAGACTGCACTCACCTCGCGATGCTATCGCACGATAAGACCGAGTTAGATGAGCAGTGAAGGTGCTTGCCGGCTGCTGTAGCTGGTGGAGTGTCGGAGCAACGGCCTCCTTGTTGATCTTTTTTATGGTCTTATTCTTTAGTTCAAGCAGGGTAGCTTGGAAAGAGTGAGAGGAAGTGGCGAGCCAGACCTCTCGATCAGAAGGGCCGCACAGACTGCGGCGGCTGCATCCGTGGGGATGCCTGAGCGGAACATTTATCGCCCCGAACCGTAACAACTATAATACACTGTTTTCGATGTGCTCTTGTTTTTCTGTCGTTTCTCCTGTTTCCCGTAGCTGACGCAAAAGGAGGTCGTCGGGGCGCTGCAGCAGCTCGCGGCGGATGGGCACGTGGCGTACAACGAGAGGTCACAGACGGTCATCGCAAGGGGGACATAGCTCATCGTAGTACCAAGCGTTGTCAGTTTTCAAAAAGTAAACATAACCTCACAGAATGACTACCCGTTCGAGATATAACCTCAGTCGAAAGGGATGTGTTGAAGTCTTTTCAGTAAGTGGATTTTGTCAGGCGCAATGTAACATACCGATCCGATCGGATGGATTCAAGTCCGAGGGCGGAGCTACGCCGGTGGTAGCGAGCTGCCTCTGTCTCTGGAGTTCAACCACGATGTTGCCGCCTGTGCGTGTCATCAGCAATGATCAATACCATTGTCCAGCTTGGCGTCGTTACAAAAGCTTGGTGTGAGACCGCAACGGTCGGCATCAGTGGTCAAGTACAGATACATTCAAAGGAGGCAATCTACTGCGGGCGGGAGGGTGCAGGAGGCCTCACCAAATCCGATACACTTGCAACAATTGATCCTCGGTATGGAGAGAAATACTGCAGGATAAATGTGCTTGGAGGATCACCCCGAACAAGAATGGTGGCTCAATCTCGCGTTGTGCATGCATGCGTTTTGGAAAACGAACCTATCGTGTGTGCTCACAACGTCCTACTTTGTCATATCCATGTAAAGCGTACAAAAGAGCGTGGGCTTTTGAGTCGACAGTGCACCCCCTCCTGTGCACCAGAGACAACAAACAAAAGCTCGTGTTCTGTAAGCGGACATACAGTCCTGAACATTTGCTATTGTGGACAGCGTTATTTGACAGCACAAAATAGAGAGTGGTCAAACTGCTTGTTATTACGAGAAAAGCCATTTCCTGCGTCACCAACGCCTTGTGCCATCAACACTGCTGTACAGAGCACGCGCTATGATCACCTTCGTGCATTTTACACACAGCAGAAGAACAAGGCTTACGAAAAGATCGAGGAATGCTACAATAATGGTACGGAACAATGCGCCACCACACTCAAGAACCTCTAGTTTCGGCCGAGGCTGATGACGTTCTTCGTTCCTAGAGTCATGCCGCGAATGGTCGCTATAGTCTATAGGTTTTAGTGTAGGGGTTCTTAACCGAGCTCACAAATGCTCAATATCTTAACTCCTGAGTTCTTAAGTGGTGGCGCGTTGTACGCGTGTACAGTACGCACCCGCTCCCCCCTGTCTACCCCGGTCGTCCGTCCAATAAATGACTCCCACGAACAACGTTCAACAGGTCTCGTTTACGGTCCATCCACCTATTATTCTCAGTTCCCCGAACACTTGGATACGACTACTACACAGCAGTGACAACCATTCGCAGGTGGTCAAGAAGGAAGCAGAGATGATGATGCTGCTGAAGGCATTCATTCATCGCCAGATCAAGGGTCTTCGCGCAAAAAAAATCCAGACACATAGCCCCCCCCCCCCACTGGGAAAAC